GTTGCATAGCTCTATGATAATTTTATATTAAAACAGGTTCTTGACTTAGACCATTCTTGGAGTTGTAGCATAGCTCTATGATAATTTTATATGAAAACAGGTTCTTGACTTAGACCATTCTTGGAGTTGTAGCATAGCTCTATGATAATTTCATATTAAATATTATCTTCATGCAAGAAAGTAAGTTACAATTTATGAAATACAAATCCACTTTTGGAAAGTCGAAGATGTCTAGAAACCTTTCAGCATCAATATTGCTGTTCTTAAGAAAGTATATAATGGAATAAAACGTGACGCACTAGAAGAAATTTACTTTAACTTTATTGTTACATGATTATTGATCGATCTATCTCTCTTTCTACTTGTCTGTCTATCTACCAAAGTTGTTTATCTACGTCTTCGGTATAATGTACTTAACATATGGTATGGATAATTCAATATGAAATACTGCTTGTCAAAGAAACATATGAATGAGTGTTTACAGCTAGGCAACGTTTTCAATGATTTTGTATAACACTAGGTGCTTCCAGAGTCTTGTTTCGCTTTCTTTCTTTTTGTTTTAAAAACGGTTCTCGTTCGCCTTGAGTGATTGATTGCTATGGACACTATTCTAATTGCAATATATTGTCCTACTCCTTACTCTTATCCTTCTTTATAGATATCATACTACAGTTTACACATGTCTTTCTTACGTGGATCTCTTTTCTTCCATGTGTGGATGCTTAGAAAAATTACATAGAATGGAAGATAAACCTTTCAAGTCCAAGCTGTTGAGTAATAAATAACAAATTGATTCTTAGATCATCAACAACGAACAGAAAACTATAATACTAGAAACAGTTTCAACTAAAGTATGATGTTTAATTTGTATTATATTTCAAGCTCTTATGTCTTCCTCCAGCTTTGTGTTTCATTATAAAATAATGGCTTACAAAATGCTCCTAGGCTTCCCTTTGAGGTCACTAATTCTCGAAAATATCTAATGCTGGTTAAATGTCCTTTTGATTTACATACTCATTACATATACAAAGACACACAGAAATAAAATGTAAAAGGACAAATGAGATTCAGCGCAAAAGTTCTATCTTAATAAATATTTCATAATTGCATGCACGAGTTACGTACCCAGTTGTAAGAGTGCACAGCTGTTACGCCACATTTTGCACGAGCTACCCGCCATGAAAGACAATACCATTAACTTCGTCTATTGGATCATTTTTAGTTATCGCTTCCATGGAGTGTTTGAAGATGTCAAAGTTCGGTGAAGATTTTAACAGAATTACAGAACTGTCCAAATGTTTAAAATCGGACAAACAACAGTTCTGTTTGTTGTGTCTAGATTTGTAGTAAAAACTACACTAAAAGTCAACTGGTCTGCACATAAAGTCGTGTAAGGTCAACTACTGTACGCTATTTCAACATGACTGTTAGGAATTGCCGACCTATTGCCAGTTTTCTTAATACGATACTATAACTGGAGTGATAACAGTGATTAAACGACAAGAAAGATATTTCATGAGTAGAAGAAGATCTGCTTGAGCTCTGAAAACAATGCTCAGCCAGATTGTAGTTTTGTTATGATAGCCAGAGTTGGTAGAACAATTCTCAGCCAGATTGTAGTTTTGTTATGATAGCCAGAGTTGGTAGAACAATGCTCAGCCAGATTGGAGTTTTGTTATGATAGCCAGAGTTGGTAGAACAATGCTCAACCAGATTGGAGTTTTGTTATGATAGCCAGAGTTGGTAGAACAATGCTCAGCCAGATTGGAGTTTTGTTATGATAGCCAGAGTTGGTAAAACAATTCTCAGCCAGATTGGAGTTTTATTATGATAGCCAGAGTTGGTAGAACAATTCTCAGACAGATTGGAGTTTTGTTATGATAGCCAGAGTTGGTAGCACCATCAATCTTCTTTTCACAGGTGATTGTAATAATGATTGTAGTTTTTGTGTTACTTTACACAACTATGTTTCACTAACTGTGTTTTAGTATCAGCGAACCGAATCATTTTTGGCATTATTTGATACACCCACAACTGAGTATATTAACGATGTATGTTATTCACGGATTGTTTTGTGAAGCCATTGTTATCGTCACAATTACTTTAGAAATTCATGGAAGAATAACGTCTTTTGTTTGAACTTCGCCGAGTTGTCACAAATGATCGTGTTTTATGGACGTTATTATTGTCAGTATTGTACTTTGTTTGATAACATTTATATTTTATCTCGTTTTATTTCGTTACCAACGCTATGTTACAGCGTGCATTGGAGAAGATCTGCTCTGCTCATGGATATTGTCCTTGTTTTGCCAATTCCATTTCCTAGTGGTGGAGGAAAGACCACCTATCTGTTCGTGGACAATGTCATTGTTTTTATAGAGACCATCTGTTCCATTCATGAACAATGTCGTGGTTTTTAAACCTCCATTTCCAGGTATGAGTAAGGGGGGAGGTGTTTATTCTATTCATGGACAATATTGTTGTTTTTATAGCTTCAGTTTTAAGGATGAAACGAAGGATGAGCTGTTCATAAACCACGTCGTTGTTGAAACACTAATTTCTTAGCTGATGGTATTTACTAAATCCCCTTCGGTATGGTCAAGTCGATGGTAAAACGTTTCCATGGATATAGTCAAGCTGATGGTAAAACTTTTCTAGCGGTACGGTCAAGATGATGGTACAAATTTTCCATGGATATGTTCAAGCTAATGGTACACCAAAATTCACGGACGTATCGTCAAGTTAATGGAACATATATAGTTCTCTGGTGTGTGGCGAAGTTGGTGGATGAAATAAGTTCTCAAGTGGACAAACCGGTAGTTTAAGGTATATG